TTGGGTATATTCTTATTTCTCAAGCACCTGATTGTCCTTTGATTCGCTTAATTAAGCGATTCCTTTAGAGTCAATGTCAAAATAGTAATTTTTCGGTAACCGTATACAAAGTAGCCACTTCCCGGACGCTTTTTCTTTAACGTGTTTCTCTGACTAGGTCGGAAAAGTGTTACTTTCTCAAAGACTTTCTGCCACAAATAAATATTATAAAGAAACGTTTATTGATTTGTTATTCTACTCGGTTGCCGGAAAAATTATATACGCAACACGCCTGGACTCTAAGACTGGTCCAAAAACAGATTTTTAGGCCACTGTCATTAGTATTAATATCCCCGAAGTATAACTTTTTTGGTCGCATTTACTTTACGGTCGCTTTGTAAACAAATGCATTATAAAAGAGCCTACTGGAGTGGTAGACTTTTAATTTGACTTTTTGCTCATCTACAATTAAACATAGCAGAACACAAAATTATCTGGTAATCATATTTTTAATATTCTAAAACCAAACTTCTAATATCTTACGCGAGATCTTATGGTTATGTTTCTCAGCGAAAAATGGTGTTACTTGGGAGACCTTGTATTTCTCGGTTCGAATCGCATACCCAATTTCATCGATATGTTCATTCGTCCCAACTGCGATATTCTTTAGAAACATACATTCGCAACATAGTTTTAATTATTGACTATTTCGGTAGGATTGGCTCTAGGACAACAATTAGGGGTATACTTAATTTGACAGCTGTATTTGTCCGCAAGTCGAGTTAATTCCTTACTACGAAATTGGCTACCGTTATCGCATACGGTTACCCTAGGAACTCCAAACACAAAAAACACCGATTTCTCCAAATAACGAAAAATATAAGTGGCTACTGCCTTACACAGAGGGCATAATAAAAAGATTTTACTCAAATAATCCTAGACGACCAATATATAGCTATTTTGATGTTTGGATCAGGGAAGTGATCCTATGAGATCCATCGCCAACATCTCAAATGGCGACTATCCTTCGGATGACATACCATCTTGTCAGTTGATTGTCTCTGGCCAGGTTTATTTGCAACACAATCTACAATGCTTCATGAAACTTGCAACATCACTACCCATTTTAAGCCAATAATAGCGTTCGGCTAACCTAGCAAAAGTTTTATACACTCCTGCATACCCCGCAGTAGAAGGATTATGCGCAACTTCAATGACTTCTCGACAACCTTTCTTAGGAACAAATAACTTCCAAGAATTCGCCTGAACCTTCAATCTAGGATAACGAGAAGGAAGATGTCTCCACAACTAACCCTCAGAAACTCTCCAGTTACTAAACTTCATTGACGTTGTTAATTATTTTCTGTCGGGCTCAAATACTTCATCTTCACGAACTCAACATATCAGCGACTACATTATCCTTCTATTTCCTGTGAACTATTTGGAACGAATACTGCTATAAACGCACGGCCGAACGAGCTAAACGACCATTCGGACCCTTGAGACTGTTCAATCATAATAGACTGTAATGACCGGTGATTGGAGTAAACTATGTACTCTCTAAGTAACCCCTAAAAGTCTTGTTAGCTCACAATGCTGCCAAACATTCTCTCTCGGTGGTTGAGAAATTTTGCTCTTGTGTTGTCAGAGAGCGGCTTAAGTACCAGATCACCCTGTTGTCATCCTCATATGGTTGGATTAGAACAGCACCAATACCATACTCTGAGCTATTGGTTTATACTACAAACGATTTCGTGTAGTAAGGACAGCTTAAAATGGGTGCCGTGGCAAAGCATTCCTTAACCTGACATACAGACTCAGCGCACTCCTCGAACCACTTAAACTTATCCTTCTTCCGCAGTAACTTCGTGATTGATACCAATAATGTGGAAAAATTTGGAACAAAACGTCTGTACCATGAAAAAGTGCCTTAAACACGCCTAACCTCAGTGAAATTAGTGGTTATCAAGACTAGAGATGTTGTGGTAGGAATTTCAATCATCGCCTTTACCTTATCGGGATCTACATGCAATCCGTTCCTATCCACAACATAAATATTTGAACTGGGGCATACAAAATTGACACTTCTCCAGGTTGACGGAGATATTTGCCTCCCTAAATCTACGGATTACTTCCTCTAAAATTCCCAAATGTTGTTTAAAAGACTGACTAATGACAACATCATCGTGGTACACAAATACGTGAGGTTCAAGATCATGGCCAAGGACGTTATCGATCAACATATTCCAAGTTTCTGGAGCATTATGCAACCCAAACGGTATCTTCTTGAATTGAAAGAGTCCTCGATTTGACACGGTAAATGCGGTGTATTGCTTGGAGGATTCAGCCATAGATACCTACCAATATGCCGACTTGACCTCCAAAATTGACATATACCTTGCAACTTGCAATGTATTTAGGGTATCAGAAACCATGGAAAGGGGATAACTATCTCTTACCGTCACAGCGTTGATCTTTATAAATTCCACACAAAATCGATAAGAATCATCCTTCTTTTTAACTAATAAAATGGGATAAGACCAAGGACTGTTGGAAGGCTCCATGACGTCAAGTCTCAACATCTCCTCTAATTCCTTGTCGATTTGTTTTTAAACGACTAGATTTACCCTGTAATACCGTTGCTTTATGGGTGAACTGCTGGTAAAGATCACATCTTCAATTATATGCATGCATCCTAAAGTATTACACATTAGAACAAGATTTCTATCAACTAACGCCTTAAGCCTTGACCGTTCCAAAGTTGTTAAAGTAGTCTGGCCCCTCATATGCTCTACACTATTTACTACCACAGGTTCATCTGAGAAATACCATTCTTTAGCTCGCAGATCAGGCATAATGCCCATTTTCCTCCAAAACTCTGCGCCAAATATAAGTAAATGGGGTAACTCGGGAACAACAAGACAACTCTACCAACTAAACTAACTCTACTTTAAGGATAAAAGGCAAATCCACAGTTCCTAAAGCCTGACACTTAATACCATTAGCCACTGTACAATACGAATCAATATTTTTCTTAACAGAAATACCTAAATCTAATAAAACCATATATCCCTTGCTACCTAAAATTGTACGTAAGGGTCCAGAATCTAATAGCCTTAATGAAGGTTTACCCAAAAGTTCGACTGTCAGATAGGGACGCTCATCGCCCTTAGTATATTTTAAAATAAAATCCAATAAAACCTGTAACTTCCCGATCGAGACATCCCTGTCAGCGCACCTACCACGATCATCTTAAGTACGCTGGTTTCAATTTCCCGACCGATTCTGACAACAATTACAAGTTCTGGTGGTATATTCCTTCTTATTGCACCTAAATCAGAGTTTTTCAAAACGCAACCTATCGTTCGATGACCCGACTTCCTGCACCTAAAACAAACTACAGCTGTTTTATCTTGAACTTTTGGGCGAGGAGAATCAGCGGAATTCATTGGCCGATTGTCCACTAAAGCGACATCCTCATAAGCCAAATCTGGCTCCAAAACTTGACCCTAAAATTCCGAAAATAAAAAAAAAATAAATTACCTCTGACCACAAATAAATTTTCAAAAGATCAAAGACAATAACCAAATATGTACCCTGTATAAAAAAAATAAAAATATCCACTTTATATTTTTATACAGCTATATGCCCTGTATATAACTAGGCTGCAATTAATAGTCACAAAAAATTTGGTTTTCCCTATGACAACAGTTTCTCCTCATAGTTTCTCCGTAACTGATTTCAGCTAAAATATAGTGAAATTAAATCATCTATAATTGGCGACTACGCGTTTCTTCATCATTGTTTTTGTTAACTCGTTACCATGATAAGTATCATGGCAACAGTTTCTCCGTAACTGATTTCACCATGGGATTTGGGTTTTTGTTTACTTATTGTCGTCACAATTGTTGTCGTGACAACAATTTCTGCAAAACTGATTTCAGCTAAACGAAAGTTGAGCCAAAAAATGCTTGTCTGTTATATCAAAGACGTATTTACTAACCTTTAACAACGCATGTTTCCCGTATGTTAGCCATTCATTTTTTTAACACTTATATAACTGTGATCTCTAAGGTAACATCCAAACTGATATAAGAGTGCCGGGAACAACTTATGCATACGCCAGGACAGAATGAATAAAACATAATTTGTTAAGAAACACAGTATATATGAGCACAAGTTTGTAGGTGGGGTAAGTATGAACGGAAGTCCTACTGGATACAGAGGTCCACAAACATACAGTGGACATGGATGTTCTACCGAAAGGGAAGGGGTCATTAGGGGACATGTGTCCATAAATATTAGTAGGTACAATTTTAAAGTGCTCAGAAATATTTATTATATTCATAAAAAAAAAAATGTGATTCTTTACATAAACTATGATATAACTCGGAACGGACAGATAATTTAGAGAAGTCATAAAAAAACAATTATTCTCCTTACCGATATCTTTCATTTGGCATATATCTTACTTCTGTTGGGGGCGGGGAAAAACTGCCCATTCATGTTTTAATTTATGTTGGCATGTGCCTAACAACGCTTTAATTCATTGGCGGCGTCGTGCGCCACACTACCTTGATCATATAAATGACGCATGTCTTCATCCACACCTAGAAAATTTCTAGAGTCGCCAATATTTACGGGAATATTTTTTAATGGGTCCGAATAATTATATTTCAGGAATGTATAAAAACGGGTATTTAACATAGTCAAATCAATAATGAAATACCAACCGCTTTATTTTTACGTAAGTCTGAGCAGTATCCATGTTGCATAATCGCTTGACATTTTTTCATCCCACATTCAATCAGCACCAATTCCGTATCCTTGAAATATTCGAGATAAAGGGCTTCGTGTGAGAAGGTTTTAGAACTAGAGCAACCGCAACATCGATTCAGTTTTTCTGTCTAATCGGATATCGATTTTACTCACCACTTTTTTCACATAATAAATCACCCGCCCGAATCGAAACTTCGGGAGTTTTAAAGTCGGACTTACAAATTTTAATGTGTTAAAATTACCTGTCTCGAATATGGTAATTTCCGTGCTGGCCTAGAATATCTTCTATGCCTGCCATGGTGTGGTCCATCAACTAAAAATAAAATGTATATTTAGAGTTACAATACGTATCGGTTTTTATGATTTTATTGTGCAACATGCAATTGGGAGATGTTTAAAAAAGAATCAGAAGAAAACAGTTTTTCTCAACTTTTTTAGATTCACCCCCTAATTAAGAAAATATTGGTCTTAGAAAACATATTTAAATAATCAGAATGTTTTTCTCTAAAAGTTACAGAGACGGAATAATACGCAAAAGCTGCGTTTAGACAATTTCTTTAAGGTGACGAAATTTTGAGGTCGCAAATAGACACGATTAGTATAATTTCACGATTTAAGTAACTATTACTACTACTATCATAAAAATTACCACCTATTAAATTTGTCCTAACTCGCATTATGCATAGCACCGTCTTTTGGTAACGAAACGAAATAATATGCCGTCGGATACCCATTTATTAATAGAACTATAAAAGTACCTGTTACATCTTTTTTCCTGAACCAAATGATTGCCACGGCCTTTTTTGTACCCAAAATTTTCGAAAGACTTCCGTTACGTATCAATAGGCTTCATCCCCTTAGAAAGCTTGATTTTTCCTGAAGATTTCATGTTGATATCGCCTTTGGTGTTTGAGTTCTATTTTTTGTTATTTTAACCCTCCTTAACGGTTGTTTTGAAGCCTTTTAAGGTTTTTATCTTATGCACTAGGCTATATTTCAGAAGCAAACTTTTTTTTAAAAAGTTGCCGGTTTTGGGCTTAAACTATCGACGAGAGAAGAAAACAAGCACCTCTGCCTTTAACACTGTTTATTTTGTAAAGAGAACACCACACTACATAATCTGATTTGTATTTACACTATGTACACATAGACATACGCTTCTTACTCGGAATATTTATAATTTGTCGCCATTGTTAGCGTGGGTTTAATACCCCTGTTGATGTGTATGGTACGAACGGTGAGTCGAATCCGGTTAGGTGCTGCGCTTTTAAAAACCGTTGAGGCTAACCTCAGAGTAAGTAAGTAGTAAAGAGAGGACACTAAACAATGTTTGTGTCGCCATGATAATATGGTCGAGAATTCTAATTAGAGAGAAATAGATTAATATCTCTATCTCTTTGTTTGTATTTGTCAGTTTTACAAAGCTTTTCTCAGACAATTATTCCAGTGTTTAATTTAAATTTGTTCGTGTTGTGGTGTTAAAAGTAATTGTTATTAATATTATATTCATAACAAAAAAGTCATATTTTGTTTTCACTTCATTAAAAATGGACCTACCTACCTTTTAAAACATTTTATTTTATATTCTATTTGGTCAACATTTTCGCATTTAAAATGACCCAACGAAATTGTTACCTATACGGTACGCTACTGCTGGGAATTCTAAAACGAGTGAGAAAACCTTCATTAGAAAGAGAGATACTGATTATATGATAGCGAGATTAATATTGTATAACTTTATGCAGTGGTGGCCTATCTGCTATTATATTATCTAAGAGGCTAACGCAATCATTTTCGCGCTTACATCTTACCAATAACTTTTCTTTGTCCATTCGTTACTATTGATTTCAAATTCGTGCACCTGTATTGGACAGCAAGCGCGCTAGTTAATTTCACTTTATTGAGTTTGCCAACCTAGCTTTGAATTATTACTTAAGTGAATGTTACAGGGGCGGTTTTGAAATTATTTATGTTAAGGGTATTCTTAACAACGGTTAACCCTCCATTTTGTTTATAATTTTTTTTAAATCATAGACTTTGTCCCCATATAGAGCTTGATTTTTGCTTAAAATTTCAAGTTGTATTTAAGTTAGGATTTTTTTAAATATTTTCGATTAACCGATTATTTTCGATTATTTTCTATCAATAGATTATTTTCGATAAATCGATTATTTTCGTTTAATCGAATATTTTCGATAAATCGATTATTTTCGATTAATCGATTATTTTGAATTAATTGATTATTTTCGATTATTCGATTAATTGATTATTTTTAATTAATCGATTATTTTGGAATAATCGATTACTTTTGATTTAACGATCACTCGATTATTTTTGATTAATAGATTATTTTTAATTTATCGATTATTTTCGATTACTTTCGATTATTCAATTATTTTCGAATAATCTATTATTTTCAATTAATCTATTATTTTCGATTAATCAATTGTTTTTGATTATTCAAATTTTTTTTTGGATTAATCGATTATTTTTAATTTATCGATTATTTTAGATTATTCAATTTTTTTCGATTAATCATTATTTTTGATAAATCGACTGTATTCGATTAATATATTATTTTCGATTAATAGATTATTTTTGAATAATCGATTTATCGATCACTCGATTATTTTCGATTAATTTTTAATTTATCGATCACTCGATTATTTTCGATTATTTTTAATTTATCGATTATTTTTGATTATTCAATTATTTTAGATTAATCGATTATTTTTTATTATTCAATTATTTTCGATTAATCGATTATTTTTTATTAATCTACTATATTCGATTAATATATTATTTTCGATTAATCGAATATTTTTGATTAATCGATTTTTTTCGTTTAATCGATTATTTTCGAATAATATATTGTTACGCAGCACCCTGCAGCAGCCTGCGGCTATTATAGAAAACGTACAAATAGAAAAAGGAGTGGAATGTTACTCATCGCCCTATAGTGTGCTGCGGTCGTCATAAGTAAAAGTACAAGAAAAAGGAGAGAATAATCCAGAAATGTCTCGAAATGTCATCACCCATCAAGAATATTCTAGACGACAGTTCGCGAAGGTTCGAGAAGAGTCAATCAAGCTATATAAGGATGATCCTGATGTCTCTTTTCAGTTTTATGATAGACGTTATAGGTTAATGTTATCAGTTGGAAGTTATTGTTAAAGTTGAATTAAGTTATTATAAAAGTTGAGGTGAAATAAATTGTGATACCAAAAACCTGCGTAACAATATTCTTTTCAATTTATTATTTAGTCGATTATTCAAGTAATGAATTATTTTCGATTAATTGATTATTTTTTATTAATCGATTATTTTCGATTATTCGATTATTTATTTTGATGATGGCCCAGTCCTAATTTCAATCCATCTTATCCCCCATTTTCGATTAATCATTTATTTGTCGAGAATTTTGTTCGCAAAAAAGGCTGTACCAAACATTTGGCTCAAGAAAAGAGGTGACACAAGTACTTTTCTGAGTTCTATTAATCAATGGGTATCCGATGGTTCCGATGGTCAAATTTCTGATCTAGTTATCAAATCGCGTCGGAAGTGCCATTGTTTTTAACACTATACTCAGGATAGTGATAGGCATAGGTGCCGTTTGATAAAATAAAATGATTTACATGCCTTCAGACATATTTCAGAGGACGGCCGAAATTTGTAGTGTTGGATCTTGGTCTATTAGGATAGATGGCCATACACGTAGAAATGATGTGTTTCAAAATTATATATGCAGTAAAATAGTCAACAAATACCAAAGATGGAATAAATTGAAATAATACTTATCCCTTTTAATATGCCTTTTATTTACATGTTATTCATCATTATCAAGTTTAAGTGCAATATGGCGAGTATTTGAATAGATAAATTTTAACATAATGTAAATAATATGTGTCAATAATTTAACCAAAATTAATATAAACCTAATTTTATATATTTCCAGAACATCGTACCGTTAGGTACACCAAATCATAGGCGTGTCCACGGGAGAATGGGGGCGGTAAACTATCTATGACGAAAAAAATTAAAGTACCCACGTAATCCCCAAAAATGTATCATAAAAGTAATACCTATTTATGAAACCAGTTACGAAATGCCTTATTTTATGTAACGAGTGAATATTTGCGAGACGAGCAGAGTGAGGTATTTCGTAACTGGTTTTATAAATAGCTATTTCGAAACCAGTTATATAATGTTTAACATTATGCAACTGGTTATGTAAAGTAGATCATTTTGACACTTGCTGCGATTACAAAAAATGTCACTTTATATGTCACAATTAGAACAAATATTTTATAACTTATTACAGTAGACTAACCCTTTCGTGTATCCGTTCGTTCATTGTCGGCTTCTTCTTTTCGGCTGTTTTGACGTTCAATATCTTCACCAAAGGCTTAATGGTAATCCCTTGGAAAAATACAGTAAAATATACCACGGCGATGGTGGTGGTCATGAACATAGGCTGCAACTTGACTGTTTTCGGATCTATTAACAAGACCAAAGCGAAAGCTACCGCTCCTCTTAAGCCTCCATATGACATCACAAATTTGTCGACGGTGCTCAATTGATTCATACGGAAACGGTTGGCTAATGCTGTCAAAATTATTACTCCTGGAAAGTAAAGAAAAAGCACTCCATTTGAAATCATAATGACATTTCATTTTTATAATTTAATACAGCGTATAAACTGTGTCCCAAATTTGAGTCTCTATATTGGTATCTCGCTTAATATAGAAGATAGAACGTCGGTTGAATGAGGAACGTTTTAGAGAATTTGATGCAGTTTCGAATCAAAAAAACTGAAAATGCCAGATTTTGTTTTTAGCGGCCGAACAGTTAATTTGACATATTTCAAAGTATTTTGCTACAGCGTGAGTATCAAAACTGAACGACAAACAATGCTTGCACAGAAATATTTTTTGTTATAAACGTCTAGAAGCAAATTATTTCATTGCCAGCACAAAAACAAAAAACTCCATCGATTTGAGACATTATTTTGAATTTGACAGGTTAGACGACAGCTCCCACCGCCAGGACATAGTACATGTTGTTACTTCCCCTTCCACGTACCTATAGCAAGCAAAAAACACCACATGCCACTTTTGCAGTTAGATGATGGACTATAAGAATAGCGCTGATACCTTAGAAACTTATGTAAAAGCTAACTTCAACAGGACAGCACTAATCAAGACAATCTCTACAAAAACCCCCACCGAACTTCAGACATTCATCTGATAACAAATGGGGGATAATAAAATTATCTTCAACCCCAAACATACACAAAAAAATACCCGAAAAATTAACCAGATCTCTCTATTCCCAATTCTCTCTTGCCATCCGCCAGGTTGACAAAAACATAACTCTAGGGAAAATTCAAGTGGTTCTTGAGGAACTAAGCAATTTCGAATTAATAGCCCACACAATCGACGCCTTGTACTGCTCCGGCATTTTCTGATGGTAAGCAATCACAACTCGTTCATCTGCATCTGTTACCTTTTGATGAACTTTAATATTCTTTTTTATAGGCCTCTTCCGATTTTTGCGGTATCAATAGAGATTCTGCTTTACTATTCAAGTAATCAATTGAACTCATTTTTAAGTAACAATTGTGTGACAATTATTAATGTTGCAAATTTGTTTGTATTTTTCTCATTTCCATGAAAACGAAGGTATACTGATGTCCCATCACAAATTCAACCATTTTACAGGTAGGTAGCAATATCGATACGCAGAAAATCAGGAACTGAGTAAATAATAAAGACAATTTTATTTTAAAATATAAATGGGCATTAGCGTGGGCGTTATATAAAAATGTGTCAAAAGGTACGTCTTGTCTTCTGACTTTTTGTTCTTTATTTTTTATCTTCATCGTTACCAAGGTTCAAATGGGTAGGGCGCTACTGCTCACAGGTTATCGACTATAATCATAACGTGATGAACGTTGGTTTCTGACATTGACATTTAACTAACCACAAATAAAAATGGAAGAGGCGTTTTCTAATATTCATCGATGCCACCTAGCATCCATTAAAATCGTTCTGTTATCCATCAAAAAGTTTTAGATGAGTCATACATCATATTCTTAAATTCAACTTAATTATATTTCGGTCTCATCTCATAAATAATAGAACAAATGTAGTACCCCCGGTATGTATGGAATCACACAATATTCAAAGCTTTACGAAAAAAAACCCTGTTATCGCCTTTCACCTGCGGGCCTCTGCCAGCTATTATTGTCATTCTCTGTTGTGTGTGGAATCTACAAACACGCTGTAAAAATTTAAAATTTTAAACTCGGTAATTAAAATATTGTGCGCGGTGCTTTACGTTTCGTTTTAGGTGTTAATATGCCGAAACATAAAAGAAAACACAAGGAAACTACTTCAGAAACCAGTGAAAGGCTTAATAGACTGGAAAAAAGCATAGAAAAATTATTAAAAAACAGCCGCAATCCGGTCTCTAGAAAACGAAGGCGCATCGAAGAATCTAGCAGCGATAGCGACAATAGTAGCCTGTCTTCAATGGAAAAAAATGAGAATTTGGATATCACGCACAGTAGTGCCGACTCCGATAAATCTATATGTGAAGGTAAATTATCCTTTTATTTCGTTATAGTAAAATTAAATTCAATTTTTTGCTCATTTTATTTTCTGTTTGTGATAACAGAAAAATTCTTAGCTGATGACAGTTATAAATTCCGATTGTGATGTCGGAACAATTTAATTCTTATAACAATACATGTCCTGATTGTGATGTCAGAATATAAAAGGGAAAAATGCTTAATTTTTCAAATAAAAAACAATTTCTGATTGTGATGTCAGAGTAATGCTATTTGAGGGTACTATAATGTGTAGTCATAATACTCGGAATACCGATTTGAGAATGTATATTGGATATAATATATACGGGGTGCGTACTATATATATATATATCATTTTCTTTCATGATAATAAATATATTTTTTTGTTTTTACTGATTTTGAAACACTTTAATGTACTGTTATAACGTCGGGTAAACACTTATTCGATGAATGTTTTAAATTCTGGTTGTGATGTCAGAATACAAAAATAAGAAAAATTTATATTTTCCAAAACATTTTGCTTTTGATGAGCTACGTATCATTTCTGATAGTGATGTCATCTTATGACACTGCAAATAATAATAGTCCTTCCTTCTCCAACACAAGTCAGTCAGCTTCAGGGGTTGAAATTTACTCTTGAGGGGGTAAATTAGGGAGAGTATTATTATTATTAGTATGAGAAAAATAATTTTATATATAAAAAAAAAAAAAGGGGGGGAGGCGCCTCTATACATATATATAAAAAAAAAAAAAAAAAAAAATCTAAAACAAAGCATTCTTTACAGAAGATAATGCCCAAATTGATAATAATCAAAGGCAAACCATAGAAGAAAACCAAAGTAGTCCAACATTGAATCAAGAAATGTTATCATTGCTTGGGAAAGATTCAATTAAAGAAAAATTAAAAGGACCACCCATACAAAAAGATCTAGCGTCAAGATGGAACAATGTCTTAATAAATGGTATGACAGAAGATGAAAAAATGGAACTGCTTGAAAAATACCCCACTCCGGAAAACTGCAACAACGCAGCTCCAAAAATAAACAAATTAGTTGCGGGGGCATCTTCAGACAAGCGCTACCATATGGTAGAGCAGTCTAGCAAAATATTATTAAAGCAACCCACTGATAAAACAAGTCAGCAGTTAAACTTCAGGAGTCTGCCCCGGTCAATACAGGGAAATCGCCAGAGCAGACAACAAAAAACCAGAATTCCCATGCAGAGTCGCTACAAGCAGTACAAGGACACATCGAACCGATATCCCCTCCAGAATCGGTATCCCCCTCAGAATCGATACCAGGAATACAGGAAGGGAACTCAGATGAAAAATTTGAGGAGGAACTAAAAAAAGTTAGTGTCACAGCCGGAAGGTTAAAATATTTTTCTCGAAAATGGCAAAAAATAACAAATGATAAAAAAGTCCTATTATGGATTAAAGGCTTAAAACTCCCATTTATTAAAAATCCAATTCAAACAGTAGTTCCCAATGAACAAAAATGGTCATGTTCAGAGAAACACATGATTATAAATTCTATTAATCATCTATTAAAAATGGGAGCCGTTAGCATAGTTAAGCCTTCAATCCATCAATACCTTTCAAATATTTTTTTAAGACCCAAACCTGATGGATCCAAAAGACTCATCCTAAATTTGTCTAAATTAAACAAATTTATCAAAACAAACCACTTTAAAATGGAAGATCATAAAACGGTAACAAAACTCATAAGTCAAAAATGCTACATGTCTACTATAGATCTCAAGGATGCCTATTTTTTATTGCCCATTGCAAAAATACATAGAAAATTTTTAAGATTTCAGTTCGCAGGAAAATTATATCAGTTTAACTGCATGCCATTTGGCCTTAATTGTGCCCCACTAGTGTTCACAAAATTAATGAAACCCGTAATTAGAAAATTAAGAGAACAGAACTTAACATCAGTTATTTATTTAGACGACTTACTTCTAATTGGAAAATCGTTTTCAGATTGTAAAAACAACGTTCAAACAACCATAAAGTTACTGGTTTCCTTGGGATTTATAGTAAACCATGAAAAAAGCAAACTTCAGCCAAAACTTCAGCAAAAATTCTTAGGCTTCATTTATAATTCAGAATCTATGACAGTTTTTCCTCCGTCAGAAAAAAGAGAAAAAGTTAGAAATCTTGTTAAGCAGTTCAGTTCAAAAAATCAATGCAAAATAAGAGAATTTGCCAGTTTTATAGGAACTCTAATTTCTATATGACCGGCCATAAAATATAGTTGGGGTTATACAAAGGCATTTGAACGTGCTAAGTTTGTAGCTCTTCAGAAAAATAACGAAAACTATAACGCCATTATGAAAATCCCATCTGATTTGCAAAATAATTTTAATTGGTGGTTAAATAATATATCTGCAGGGTACAACACATTTAAACCTTTAAAATTTCAGCTAGAAATTTTTTCAGACGCCTGCAAAACCGGATGGAGCATTTGTAGTGGATCGGTAAGATCACACGGATTGTGGAATGTTAAAGAAAAAGAATTACATATTAATTATCTAGAACTCCTTGCATCATTTTTTGGACTGAAATGCTTTGCAAATCACTTAAAAAACTGTGATATATTATGCAAAATTGATAACACCACTGCCATATCCTACATTAATCGAATGGGTAGCATTCAGTACCCACAGCTTAACCGTCTAGCCAGAGAAATATGGCAGTGGTGTGAGGTAAGAAATAATTTTATTTATGCAAGTTACATAAATTCAAAAGACAATTTTGAAGCGGATGACGAGTCACGGAAAATAGAAAAAGAGACTGAATGGGAGCTTAAACAAACAGAATTTCTTAAAATAATTAAAACATTTAATAAACCAGACGTTGACTTGTTTGCTAGTAGAATAAACAAAAAATGTGAGAAATTTGTATCTTGGCGGAGGGATCCAGAGGCCTGGGCTGTTGATGCGTTCACACTAGATTGGAGCAAATTTTATTTTTATGCATTTCCTCCTTTTTGTTTAATTTTAAAAGTATTGCAAAAAATTATAAATG